TCACTGAACTACACGCGCTATCCGTATTTCTATTAATTGCTCCGGAGAGCACGATTTCTGTCTCTAGATATGACCCCATCAGGGTTCCCATTAAACGATAAGTACCATACGTGAAAGACACTGTATTGTTATACATCGTGATACTGCGTTTCTCTTTCTATACTATAGCAATTTCCCACCGTGGGTTCATTGCGCCTGCGCGCAGTACCAAAACAGGCACGATTATTAGATATGTCTATTGTTCGTAGCAATTTGAAATTCTCATTATCGCTTGAAAATTACTTTAGAAACATCCGATAAAAACACTGATGGTGTTGTACTCATGCGCACAGCAATCACAGCGGCACATAGGCGAGAAAACTGCACTGAACGTCTCTGTTCTAATAGATATACATGTTGAAAGGCACGTTGATACTACATTTAAATACACTATGCATAAGGTCATTATCTTGGTAAAGTCGGTAGCGCGTGTAGTTCAGTGACCCTGTAACCATCGTCACTGAAGACATTTCCGTTTTTATTTACATCTATGTATACGTCCAGGCATAAGTACAATTCATCCCGTTCAAAATGCTCAAAGACATTTGGTGTATGCATGCTATCAAGAATCCATTGATAACATGAATTCATAGACTTATACAATTTTTTGATATCGACCGTGATTATACTCAGGTGCATGTCATTAACATACTAATTTTTTTATTGGAATACTTTAATGTGTAACATGTAATTACGAACGCGTAAAAGCATGCGAATATATGGTATGCTGTGCTCACGCCTATACACATACATGCATGCACGCACGCACGCACGCACGCACACGCGCAGACACTAAACTAACAAGATAAAAGTTGCCTGCACCCTTACACTCACACATGCACGCAGGTAAACGCCACATGAGCGTAGTGTATCAATACTATAAATCCACTATTTATACACAATATAATTCGCGGGAGTTCGGGTGTCGTTAGTGTGCAAATATTGGCCAGTTGTCCTCGTGGTTAAAGGCTGTTGTGAAGTCCGATGAGTACATAACACATGTAAACACAAGCACCCTGTACAACCGAACATAGTCATACTTGGGATGGTCACTACAAATATGCACGTGTACATATCAAGAGCGTGTTCGAATAAATCGAGCGAAATTAAAGCGATAAGGAGAATGACACACGCGTCCGTAACAATGCAATATGTATGTACGTCACATATATGCGCAAATTTCATGACCTTATAGATCGAGAGAAGATTTTCGAATGGAGTTATATAGTCGCACGTGTCTTCATCAAAGATTCAAATATCATGTCATTACAAAAATAGATGGATTTCCTACTCGTCATTTACGTTGACGTAATGTGTGTGTGTGTGTGTGTGTGTGTGTGTGTGTGTGTGTGTGTGTGTGTGTGTGTGTGTGGTGCGGCGTGTGTGTGTGTGTGTGTGTGTGTGTGTGTGTGTGTGCGCGCGCGTGTGTGTGTGTGTGTGTGTGCGTGTGCGTGCGTGTGCGTGTGAGTGCGCGCGCGCGCGCTTGTGTGCAGTTGCGCCTGTATGTGTGTTTGTGTGAGTGCGTGCGGGGGTAGACGTGTGATATGATGTATGCTGCCGCAGCGCTCAGCGATACTAACACGTTGCCAGGACAATGAATGCAAATTCTGTTGAATATATATATAGATATATCTATAGTATGCCACTTACGAACGAGACATGCAGGCAGATTATATCTTATACGTCTGTTCTGTTTCTATTAACATATAATAGTTATAAAGTGACCGATTTGAAATGCAAACGTCAACTTTGCATGTCATTTTAAACTTTCCATATAGACACTATAAGGCTTTTTTAAGACTGAGATAATGTCCTTTTTTATATTCTTCATAATATTGCATTATATCTCCATATTACGCCGAATGTGACGTCACACGGTGGTCGATCGCATTTATGCATTCATTCAATTGTCCTATTCTACATCTCTACTAGACCTACCCATACGATCGCGCATATGATCGCGGGGGACGAAGCAACGAGAGAGCGCTCGACGAATCGCCGAGGACCAGCCACCAGATGAAGGAGTATCAGCCACGCGGTCAGGCGCCACCGCCCCAGCAACGCAACACCGCCCCGCCGCCGCTGCGTCTGCCAGTCGACAATGATGTGTACGCGCCGGAACCGGTGGAGGAACCGGAAGTCGCGCAGCCGAACTATTACGTCATCGTCGTGTTTGTCGTGGAGCTGCTGCTGCTTGGTGGAGTCTGCGCGCTCGCCTGCATCCTCAGGTGAACGTAGACCTAGCACGGGGAAAACGTTTGCGCGATCTAAAATGAGAAACGAAAAGTTACGATGCGAAAATACGAAATCGCGTTGCTGCCGCTGTCGACGCGCATTGCCTGACGTCATTTTTATCGTGTCTTGTTTCAGGTTCACAGACAAATTTACGCTCAGAAGTACCACGTTCAGCTGTTTCGACACTGCTTTAATGAGTCCATATATTATACCCGATGACTCTAATATTTACATACCTGACTTAGTTTTATATTTGGTGGGCTTTTTACTACCTCCCGTCTTGGTAAGTACTCAGTATAATACGTACGTGTTTATCGCAACTGATACACTTTATAGTTAACTTCACAACGCCATATTGTTTCTGCGAGCGAAAATATAATTTAATCGTTGTCGTTAGGATTCAAAATATTGTCATCATACATTTGCCATCGAAAGGCTTTAGATAATTATAGGCATACGTACGTGTCTGTCTGTCACTGCGCAACTTCGTACTCTTGTGTCTGGGGGGGGGGGTATGTGCTCGTGTGTGCGGTGATAGATGCCGCTTCTATACCGCCTTACATCACTATTGCCATCACTATTATCATGATAATAATCATAGTTATTATTATTATGCTTATGTCACACGCAGCGTTGATTTTCAGATCGTCACAGCAGAGCTGTTTATCATGTGGGCTTCCACGATGCCGCAGAAGACAATACACGTGTTCTCACCAGAGTGCAATCTGCCGCAAGTGGTACGCCGCATTATAAGAAACGTTGGTGAGAAATTTTTTATACCTTTTTTTTACCAAAACTTGAGTGTGCAGCGACGCACCGCTGACGTCACACATCACTTAACAACTAAAATATATTGTAAAAAAAGCAAAAATAAGAAAAACATGGAAAAAATAGCTCGCATAATTGCTTAGAGATCGAGCCAGCATAATTATATTCGATTTCTATTGCTATTAACGTGCGTTTTTATTTGCTAGGCATGTTCTTGCTCGGAGCGCTAGTGACGGCAATATTGACAGACATGTTGAAAGTGACTATCGTACGTCCGCGCCCATACTTTCTCTCCGGTAAGACAACATGGCCGCCCTGCGTACGTAATACACACTCGTGCTTCGTACTCTCAGAGTAATAGCTAGTTTCATAAGGAGTGACTTGCGGATCAACCTCGTTATTGTGTGCCTCTTGCGCTGGTACTGCGGTCATTTCCATCGTCATCAAGCTATATTATGCAGTTTTCTTTAATCTTCTGCATACTGCACACCTGAAACCCAGAGGCCTACTGCACACCTGAAACAGTGCTCGCGCATGCGCAATATCTCCTGAGAAGAAGAATATTTTGCAAAGATTATGCATTTCAAATGAAGAGGAGGTATCCTAACAGAGATTTACATGATAAAATTCCATCAGTAGACCTCACGTAAGAAATAGGAAGAAGACCTTTTATTTTATTTTATGTAAGGTCTCCGCTGTATATACCAGTCAGTACACAATCTGGCTAAGTTAGTGTGTCAGCACATGCGCAATATCTCACCAGAGGAGTTATATTTTGTGATGAATATGCATTTAATATGGTTAGGGGGTATCTCAACATAGATTTCTATAATAAATTATTATCAGTGCACCTGTGTTTATAATTAGGAGAGCGCCCTAACTTGTAGGGTGTAAAACCCCGTCTTACCCCTTGCCTCCCTTGTTCCTCGCTCAGCCTGCTTCTTCTTCTACCGCCCCGCAGCTATCTTTCCTGCCGCCTTTGCTCAGTCTCCCATCCCTCCCATTCTCAGCAAGCTATATTGTGCAGTTTTCGTTAGTCCTTACTGCACGCCTGAAACGGTGCTCGCGCATGCGCAATATCTCCCGAGAAAAATAATATTTTACAAAGATTATGCATTTCAAATGAAGCGGAGTTATCCTAGCATAGATTTACATGATAACATTCCATTAGTAGACCTCACTAAAGAAATAGAAAGAAGACCTTGCATGTCAGGTCCCCGCTGCATATACCAGTCACTACATAATCTGGTTACGTTAGTGTGTCAGCGCATGCGCGATATCTCACCAGAGGAGTTATATTTTGTGATGAATATGCATTTAATATGGTTAAGGGATATCTCAGCATAGATTTCTGTAATTCGTTCTTATCGGTGGATCCGTGTTTATAATTTGGAGAGCGCCTTAACCTGTAGGATGCAAAACTCTTTATTCGCCCCGCTTCCGTCCTACCCCTTACCTCCCTTGTTCCTCACTCAGTCTGATTCTTCTTCTACCACCCCTCAGCTATCTTCGCTGCCGTCTTTGCTCAGTCTCCCACTCCACTTATCCCCAGCAAGCTATATTATATGCAGGTTTTTTCATCTGTACTGCACGCCTGAAACGGTGGTCGCGCATGCGCAATATCTCTCGAGAAGAAGAATATTTTGTAAATATTATGCATTTCAAATGAAGAGGAGTTATCCTAGCATAGATTTACATGATAACATTCCATCAATAGACCTCACTTAAGAAATAGGACGATGACCTTTTATGTAAGGTCCTCGCTGCATATACCAGTCAGCACATAAACAGGCTACGTTAGTGTGTCAGCGCATACGAAATATCTCACCAGAAGAGTTGTAGTTTGGAATGAATATGCATTTAATATGGTTAGGGGGTATCTCAGCATAGATTTCTGTAATAAATACTTATCAGTGGACCTGTTTTTATAATTTGGAGACCGCCCTAACCTGTAGGGTGCAAAACTCATTATTCACCCCGCTCCCGTCCTGCCCTTTGCCTCCCTTGTTTCTCACTCAGCCTGCTTCTTTTTCTACCACCCCCTCAACTATCTTCGTTGCCGCCTTTGTTCAGTCTCCTTTCCTTTTCACCCTCATCAAGCTATATTATGGAGTTTTCTTTAGGCGTTGTTGCACTCCTGAAACGGTGCTCGCGCATGAGCAATATCTCCCGAGAATAATAATATTTTGCAACGATTATGCATTTCAAATGAAGAAGAGTTATCCTAGCATAGATTTACATAATAACATTCCATCAGTAGACCTCACGTAAGAAATAGCAAGAAGACCTTACATGTAAGGTCCCCGCTGCATATACCAGTCAGTACATAATCTGTCTACGTTAGTGTCAGCGCATGCGCAATATCTCACCAGAGGAGTTATATTTTGTGATAAATATGGTTAAGGGATATCTCGGCATAGATTTCTGTAATAAATTATTATCAGTGGACCTCACTTAAGAAATAGGACGAAGACCTTTCATGTAAGATCCCCGCTGCATATATCAGTCAGCACATAATCTGGCTACGTTAGTGCGTCAGCGCATGCGCAATATCTCACCAGAGGAGTTATATTTTTTGATGAATATGCATTTAATATGGTTAGGGGTATCCCAGCATAGATTTCTGTAATTAGTTCTTATCAGTAGACCTGTATTTACAATTAGGAAAGCGCCCTAGCCTGTTGGGTGCAAAACTCCGAATTCACCCCGCTCCCGTCCTACCCCTTGCCTCCCTTGTTCCTCACTCAGCCTGCTTCTTCTTCTACCGCCCCTCAACTATCTTGGCTGCCGCCTTTGCTCAGTCTCCCACCCCTCTCATTTTCGGCAAGCTATATTATGCAGTTTTCTTTAGTCTTTACTACACGCCTGAAACGGTGCTCGCGCATGCGCAATATCTCCGGAGAAGAAGAATATTTTGCAAAGATTATGCATTTCAAATGAAGAGGAGTTATCCTAGAAAGGATTTACATGAAAACATTCTATCAGAAGGCCTCACTTAAGAAATAGGAAGAAGACCTTGTATGTAAGCTTTCCTCTGTATATACCAGCCAGTACACAATCTGGCTACGTTAGTGTATCAGCGCATGCGCAATATCTCACCAGAGAAGTTAGATTTTGTGATGAATATGCATTTAATATGGTTAGGGGTATCCCAGCATAGATTTCTGTAATTAGGTCTTATCAGTGGACCTGTGTTTACAATTAGGAGAGCGCCCTAGCCTATTGGGTGCAAAACCCCTAATTCACCCCGTTCTCGTCCTACCCCTTGCCTCCCTTGTTCCTCACTCAGCCTGGTTCATCTTCTACCGCCCCCTCAGCTATCTTTGCTGTCGCCTTATCTCAGTCTCCCACTCCTCTCATCCTCAGCAAGCTATATTATGCAGTTTTGTTTAGTCTTTACTGCACGCCTGAAATAGTGCTCGCGCATGCGCAATATCTGCCGAGAAAAAGAATATTTTGCAAACATTATGCATTTCAAATAAAGAGGAGTTATTCTAGCATAGATTTACATGATGACATTCCATCAGTAGACCTCACTTAAGAAATAGGAAGAAGACATTGCATACAATGTCCCCATTGTATATACCAGTCAGTAGCCTACACATAATCTGGCTACGTTAGTGTGTCAGCGCATGCGCAATATCTCACCAGAGGAGTTATATTTTGTGATGAATATGCATTTAATATGGTTATGGGTATCCCAGCATAGATTTCTGTAATTAGTTCTTATCAGTGGACCTGTATTTACAATTAGGAGAGCGCCCTAGCCTGTTGGGTGCAAAACTCCAAATTCACCCCGCTCCCGTCCTACCCCTTGCCTCCCTTGTTCATCACTCAGCCTGCTTCTTCTTCTACCGCCCCCTCAACTATCTTCGCTGCCGCCTTTGCTCAGTCTCCCACCACTCTCTTCCTCAGCAAGCTATATTATGCAGTTTTTTTAGTATTTACTACACGCCTGAAACGGTGCTCGCGCATGCGCAATATCTCCCGAGAAAAATTATATTTTGCAAAGTTTATGCATTTCAATTGAAGAGGAGTTATCCTAGAAGAGATTTACATAAAAACATTCTATCAGAAGACCTCACTTAAGAAATAGGAAGAAGACCTTGTATGTAAGCTTTCCTCTGTATATACCAGCCAGTACACAATCTGGCTACATTAGTGTATCAGCGCATGCGCAATATCTCACCAGAGGAGTTATATTTTTTGATGAATATGCATTTAATATGGTTAGGGGTATCTCAGCATAGATTTCTGTAATAAATACTTATCAGTGGACCTGTGTTTATAATTAGGAGAGCGCCCTAACCTGTAGAGTGCAAAACTCTTAATTCACCCCGCTCCCGTCCTAACCCTTGCCTCCCTTGTTCCTCACTCAGCCTGCTTCTTCTTCTACTGACCCCCAGCTATCTTTCCTTCCGCCTTTGTTCAGTCTCCCTCCCTTTTCACCCTCAGCAAGCTATATTATGGAGTTTTCGTTAGTCTTTACTGCACTCCTAAAACGGTGCTCGCGCATGCGCAATATCTCCCGAGAAGAAAAATATTTTCCAAAGATTATGCATTTCAAATGAAGATGAGTTATCCTAGGAGGGATTTACATGAAAACATTCCATTAGTAGACCTCACTTAAGAAAAAGGAAGAACACTTTGTATGTAAGGTCCCCGCTGCATATACCAGTGAGTAGCCTATAGCGAAAAGTCGACCAAACCTGAAGAGCTTATATAATATGAACTAAAACCGGGCGATCGCCCGGAAACCCTTGGAAATGGTTCTTATATTCGATGTGTGAATCGATTTCGTCGCCGACATGAGTGATTGTCACACATTCTATTTTCCAGTTTGCGAACCAGCAAACTGCGTCAGTGGCAGCGGCAATTACACGATGTGCAAAGATGACGTAGACGCCGATTTGCTGAGGGAGGCAAGGTAAGACAGAATATACACGTCAAGTCGGGACTAATGATAAATAACAATGAACTCATGATAGTAACGAAATACATGAATACGCTATTAGGGAGATCTACGACCATTTTAGCTTGTATTTTGCCTAAAATACAATGAAAATAGGAAATAACATCCCTGAATAATAACAGAAGCCTGTACAGATTCGCTGGTATCGTTTTGATATCTGTAGTAGTTAATTGTTATATATATATATCATATATATATTATTTATTACTATTATACATATAACATATTAAAAACTTTTCGTTATCTGGCTAACTATTTGTAGTGTATGAAGTGCTCATAAACCCTTATGGGTTTATGTGCCCTTGACTATATTTGCTACTCGGTGAGAGAAGAAAATGGATGATGGGTGACCACATAAATATGACCAACGTCATCTCCATTGTTTCGCTGATTCAAATACATGAACTACTGTTATGAGTGATTATGATGGTATTAAGACACGTGTCTTATCTTAAACATGGCGTTACGATGACGATAGGATCGCTATAAATGACTATAACCCGCTAATATTATTCTTGCTTGCAGAATGTCATTTCCGTCGTTCTGGGCCGCATTTTCCATGTACTGCGCCATCTTTGCATCGGTATGATACTAGTCTGCGCCATACTTCTACCGCGTCTGATTATTGATCTACTACGCCATTTCATCTATGACAGCATTACAATCACAGTGGCGCGGTTACGCTCAGTAGAACGGCCCTATTCAACGACAACGCAATTAAATAGAAATGAGAAACTTCGACCATATGTATCTGAAAACTTTCGGATACAGTGACAATATAGCACTGCCACCTGACGGAGTACAGCTGTCGGTTGAGCTGACATCAAACATGTTTTATCTTGAGTGTTTCAGTATATAGAGAGATAGGCCGGTGATACGCCATGATTGCACGATGTATAACGCCGCTCCTAGGAAAAAAATATACGAATATTTTATAAATATGTACGTAGGCGATATACTATATTATACATGTATGCGTATAATTTTTGTATACAGATATACGTACACAGCGTGATGGCGGTGCACGGCGTGCGGCTGCTGCGTCCCATCGTCGTCTTCGCTCTCTTCAGCCTCTCTCTAATGTGCGGTGTCGTCAGACTGCAGGATCATCGTAACTACCCTGGCGACGTCGCCGCCGGCTTTCTGCTGGGATTCTTCGTCGCGCTGTACCTGGTGAGAGTCGTGGAGCGAGAGGACGGTGATTTTTCGGGACGCGGAATTAAAGTGTATCTTCATTATCTGCGAGTCGAGTAACACTAGATAAATTTGGCAAAAACATTGAGAATATTAGGATTTAGAAAAGTGAGCACGGATTAAGAATTGCGATTCTAATTGCGCAGTCCTCGCTATACCATATGTTGGACAGGGTTGTCGTTCCTTTGTCGTGATTACTCGTCGGAGTCACGAAATCTTGCCATCTCCCTCGTTAAGAATTTGCAGAGGCCACAGCCAGGTCGCAACGTGCAAGAGACGAGCAACGACACACCCGACACGATTCGAATATCCTATGGTCGACGCTGTATAATCCCCAACTATAACACTAACATTAATCCTAACCCTAACATTAACCCTAACCCTCACCTTAACATTAACCCAAACCCTTACATTTACCCCAACCCTAACATTAACCATACCCATAACCATAGTCTTAACCCTAATTCTACCCCTAATCCTCACACTAACCCTAACCCTAACGAGAATATTCGTCCGTGTACAAGCCCGCCTGCGTCAGACTCGCTCTTACAATCGTACGCTGTAGCTCCCATGCTGCAAAAACACAACCAGTAGAAAACCCTTGAATTTGATCGAGTCTCGTCACTCACTGCGTCTCGCTTGCTTTTGTCGATCTCTCTCATCGCTGATCTCTTCGCGCAGGGTTACTTCTGCCTCGACTGCTTCAAGGAAAACCACAAGCATCGCCTTCTGGAAGCCATCGAAGACAAACGCGACGACGACGACGACGGCGATGTCGAAACCAACGCCAAGCACGCGTCGGTGCTGGCGAATACGCACGCTGAGTACGAGGACGTGTTGCCGGCCGACGACAAGCGGCAATCGGCCGATGCCCGCTACGAGCAAATGCGCGCCCCCTACCAATCATCGCAGCCGGAATACTCGCGCGGGTCGAGCCGACAGGAGTACGACAACTACGGCGGCGACGTCGGCTACAAGCAGGATGCGCGCTACTTCTGAGAAGCAAAGATGGCGACGGCGGAGTCGCGCGCGTGCGAGCGCCAACGCACGATGGGTCACGTTGCAATGGTCGGTAATCGTGTTGCGAGAAGATGTCATACTGTAAGCGCGTGGAATTGTTAGTGGGAGTCGCGTATGAAATGCAGAGCGAGCAGAGACACATGATGGAATAGCTAGTATCGTATAATATAAACTATATACGCGTAGACGATGCGCACGCAGCGCACGCAAGCTTGCACGAGGCGCATGCCTGGTCTAATAAATATCTAAGTATTCATTCATATTTGTGTGAACAGCAAGGTAGACGAATCACATTATCGAAACAGACTCAACGCTTCTTAGAAATCAATACCCGTAAATAGTATGTAGAATACTGATAAAAAAAGGAGCCTACGAAAATGCTTAATTTATTATGTAATCAGAAAAAACGGAAGATTTTCCGGGTAGAATTACGTAAAACTGCTTTATTATAATATTGACCATATAAAGCACAACGCCTGACGTCATATTATGTTATAATATTATGAATTAACGATGTTTAAACTATTGCCGTTGATCGCACATAGTGTTGGTAAGACGAATAACTCATTACATGCGATGCTCATTTACGAAAGATTATGATAAAAACACCAACTCTATCAGAAAAACAACAGTATTGCCCCTTAGGAGCGTCATATTGCCACATAGTACATTTCCATACTTATGTTTTATTATGCTTGTATTGCTTTTTACGAATACGTTATATTATTTGTGGTTTTGAGGTTGGCCATTATTAAACGTACACATACGCGGCGCATGCATTCACGCACACACGCAGACCCCCACGCACACACACACACACACACACACACACACACACACACACACACACACACACACACACACACACACACACACACACACACACACACACACACACACACACACACACACACACACACACACACACACACACACACACACACACGACACACACACACACACACACACACACAACTACACACCTACACAACACACACACACACACTACACTAACACTCGAACTACGTACCGTACCGACTACGTACAGTGTGATGCTGTGTGTGTGTGTGTGGTGAGTTTGCTGTAATTCAGTGTAGCCATTGTGTGTTGGAATCATTGCATTAGGTAGGTGTCTTTTCTATTCCTAGGTACATTTAAGATCAGTATTAATGCACTGAAGCTACAGAGTCAGTGAGAAAACATAGATGACGTTGTTCCTGGCCGGGCTTGAAAAGCTGACATGCCAAGAGTTTTCCAGATGAAAGCATATTCAGCCAGTTGTAGCAACAGTTCATGTATCGAACGACTGATTTAATGTTGCATTGTAAGTGAATGCATAGTTTTTAAGATGACATTCGTTGAGATTACGATTGAAAGATAGCTAGCTTGTATCTTGCCACGGAATTTTTGATTTGAGTTGGTGCACGTTTAATCTCAGCTTAGCTGGTACGCTCTGGGATTTAAGAGCTGGGTGTGTGCGCGGGTCGCCCTCTCTCTCTTTCGTTGCTCTCGCTCTCTCTCTCTCTCTCTCTCTCTCGTCGCGTTTTGTGCTCGCGCCCGTCTCTTGTGTCTCGTCGTGCCTGCTGTTCTGTCGTCTCTCTCTTCCTCGGTCGGGGGTGCGGTCGTCTCCTGCTTTGTCGGTTCTGCGCTCTCTCTTCCTCCTCGCCTCTCTCTCTTCCTCTCTTCCGCCTCTCTCATAGATATCAGTCGCCTGCACTGCCGCCTTCATTAAGTTTGTCTTCGATAGCGCCGCCTGCGAAATCCGGCACCGCCCCAAGTTGAATTAGAAGCTCGCAGCCATCCATCTTCTACGGCCTGCCATCCATCCGCTCGCTCGCTCGCTTCTCTCTCTCTCTCTCGCTCTCTCTCTACTCGTCTCTCTCACGTCGTTTCTCTCGCCCTCTCTCACTCTCTCTCTCTCTCTCGTCACTCCACTCTTCTCTCGCTCTCTCGCCATCTCTTCCTCTCTCTCGCTCACTTCTCTTCTCGCTCGC